CACATGGGTGATGGCCATGTGGACCCCACATGATGGACTCATGGACTGGAATTAGCCTGATGCTGTGCCAGACTCAACTCCACCATGGAATGGAAACTCTGGACACTGGCTTTGCTTTTAGCTCTGCTGAGTTCCCAGCTGCACATTTTCTAGGACTGTTTTAAGGGAAATGGGGCTTTGGAAACCAAGGTATATAATTACACACAAATGTTAATCACTCATTCTCCTGTGTGAGTCTTAGAAAACTCTTTTTCTCAAGATATCGTAAAGAACCCCACTTCCACTAGCAATGAAAAAATTCCACCCATGCAATTCTCTGATAACACACCTATGTAATGGAATATTAATCAGCAAAGAAACAAACTATTAGTATATACAACAACCTGTATAAATCTCAAAGGATCTTGCTGAGCAAGGGAAGCCAGTTTTCAAAGGTTACAAACTGTATGATTCCATTTATATGACATTTTTGAAAAGACAAAACTAAGGTGCTGCAGAACAGCTTGCAGATTGCCAGAATTAGAGGTGGGAGAACTGTGTGACTATAAAGGGTTAACAGAAGGGAGATGTTTATTTGCTTTTGGTGTGATGGAATTGTTCTGTATCTTGACTGTAATGCTGATAACTTGAATCTATACTTATATTAGAATTTACAGAACTTTACATAAATAAATAAAATTTAAAAATAATAGTTTTATCCTTTATAATATTATTTCTTATTTTAAATTCCTATCTTCCTTACTGGACTGTAAATTCAAAGTGGGGAGGAAGTATGTCTCTCTCCTTACCATTTTACCCCCCACTGCATGGTACAATGTCTGGCACACAGTTACTACTAAATAAATATATTTTATTATCTAAATAAAAAGAGTCTTTATTGGCATTTTAATGGAAAATTAAGAGAAGTTTTGTTGGAATCTACTAGTAAGATGCTACTTTAAACTGGAAATTCCTTAACCAAGCTTTTTGAAAGAGTGATATTACAGTAGATATTTCTACTTCTTCGCTTCCAACCCCTGGAAATTTGGTTGCTATCCTACTATTCCTCTGAAAGCTCTCTCAGGTCCCTAATGATCTCCATGTTGCCAGTTCAATGAGTACACTAGGGTACCCTCTTGTTCTTGTTTCTCTCCTACTGTTTCCCTCATTCTTTTCCCATATTTTCGTTGTTTTCTTCCCCCTCCCCCCCTTTCCCCCTGATTCCATTCCTGGTATACTATTCTTGTCTATGTGCTGTACCTGGGTGCATTCTTCCTTTTTTGTATTTTTTGTCTTATCGATATGCTAATGATTCTGAAATACAGCCCTGATCTGTACCTTAAGCTTACTAGTCTTATCGCTACAGATGTTAAACAGGTATTTAAAGCTAATTATCTTCTATTTTGCATAACATCCTCTCTTCATATATTTCATATCTCAATAAATTGCACCGTTAGTCACCCAAACCCCCAAACTGACATTTATATTAGACTCTTTTTCCATCACCTTATCAGATTAAACTCTAAGACTTGCTAATTTTACTTCGTAAATATTAATCAAATTTGTCTCATCTCTATTACTCTTACAAATACTCCAATGTGAGCCTCATCTCTCCTTTGGAGTATATCAAATAATCTTCACACTGATTTGCTTTCCTTAGATTTTGCAATTTTTAAGAAATTTTTAAAAGCTTAAAAGAATCCTTACCTTACAAATGTTTCAATCAGTACAAATAACTTTTTTATTCAATACAAATTATATCTATATATCTATATAGCTACACACACACACACACACACACACACACACATATATTTGTTTGTTTGTTGTTGTTTTTAATCCTCATCTGAGGATAGTTTTTTCCATTGCTTTTCAGAGAGTGGAAGGGAGAGAGAGAGCGAGAGACATTGATGTGAGAGAGACACATCAATTGGTTGCCTCCTGCATGGGCCCTGACCGGGGCCAGGGATTGACCCTGCAACCAAGGTATATGCCCTTCACTAGAATCAAACCAGGGATCATTCAGTCCGAGGTCCAACTCTCTAACCACTGAGGCAAAAAAGCTAGTGCCAAATAATTTATAATTTGAAACATTTTAATGCAAGTATCAATCCGATACTCATAAATCCCAGAGTATTTTGTATTTTCTACAAACAAGGATATTCCTCTAAATAACCATACACAGCCATCCAAATTAGGAAATTAACATTGTTACATTACTACCAACTAATGTTTTTGTGGTTTGTTTGTTTTTCAGTTTTCCCCCAATTGTGCTAATAGTATCCTTTGCAGCAAAGGCATCATGTTCAGGATTACACATTACATTTTGTATTCATGTCTCTTTATTTCCTTCAGGCTGGGACAATTCTTCATCCTTTATTTGACATTCATAATCTTGACATTTTTGGAGATAATAAGCCAGTTGTTCTGTAGAGGTATCCTCAATTTTTAAAACAAATTTGCAATTTAGATTTATTAGATGCCTCCTTGTGATTAGATTAGGTTATGCATCTTTGGCAGGAATACCACAGAAGTGATGTTGTGCTCTTCTCATCACCTCCTCTCAGGTGGCATGTAGTTTTGAAATGTTTTCTTACTGATGATGTTCACTCTGATCACTTTAGTAGGGTGGTTTCTGTCAAGCTTCTCCATTGTGAAGTTACTCTTATCCCCTTAGTAATTACTTTTACGAGGAGTTACTTTGGAACTATATTACACTGTTCCTCACCAAACTTTAATTTATTCATTTATTAATTTATATCACTATGAAATATAGTTTCTCCTGTTTTATCCAATGAGTTATAGTTAATTATTATCATTATTTCCATGCTCAAATTGTCTCAGATTTGACCAGTGAGAACCCTTTAAGATGGCTTCTGTGTCCTCGTGTGTCCTTTTTGTTACATGTCCCCATTACTCTTTGAGCAGTTTCTTGCTTTCAGGTATAAAAAGATATTCTGAGTTTATCTTATATTTCTCCTATCCTAGGCCTGGAATTCAACCTTCCTCCAATAAGCTCTGGTCCCTTTGAGTGAAGACTGCAATTTAGAAACCAAGATCTATGTGCTAGTTGTGCTCATTGCTTTGAGGGTGGGGGTGGAGGCATTGCTTTAAGGCTACCTCAGAGCAAGGGAACATACATATATAAATATTTACATCTAGTTTATTTATTCATTTATTTTTAAAATATGTTTTATTGATTTCAGAGAAAGGAAGGGAGAGGGAGAGGGAGATAGAAATATCAATGATGAGAGTCACTGATCAGCTGCACTCTGCACGNATACATATATAAATATTTACATCTAGTTTATTTATTCATTTATTTTTAAATTTGTTTTATTGATTTCAGAGAAAGGAAGGGAGAGGGAGAGAGAGATAGAAATATCAATGATGAGAGTCACTGATCAGCTGCACTCTGCACGTCCCCTACTGGGGAATCAAGCCCACAACCAGAGCATGTGCCCTGACCGGGAATCGAAACATGACCTCCTGGTTCATAGGTTGACACTCAATCACTGAGCCACGCCAGCCAGGCTATACTTATACTTATTGAAATCCTTAAATTCCAATACCTCTAATTCCAATTCATCACAAGATTCATGCTAATTTTCTTCCTTTACATATTTGTAATCCATTACCTGATAGTGAGAGAACTGGCTCCCATTATCTTTAACCTATTTACTTATCTGTTCATTCCCCCAGTATGCTTCTAATCTTCCATCACTGCCTCCACCTTTTCCCCTACCTAGGTGCCCTCCTTATGCTGCTTGGTTTTTGATACTCCACACCAGGTTAGAGGAGTTGCCAGGTTTGGCAAAAAAAAATGCAGATGCCTAGATAAATTTGAATTTCAGAAAACAACAAATAATTTTTTAGGGATATATTTATACTAAAAGTATTTTTCATTTATCTGAAATTCATATTTAACTGGGCATCCTGCATTTAATCTGGCAATCTATAATCTGATCCTTCGCTTGGACCCCTCTCCTACACTGCTCAGACTCTGGAACCCAGCTTTGAACTTCTCCAAAGTGTGGATTTGCTCCTTACCCCACTAGGGCTCTGACCCCGCTGGTACCAGGCCACCTACCCCATATTAAAGCCTTCCTTACTTAGTTTGGACTCCGACATCACATGCAAAGTCGCTCCTAAATACGGATGCCCTCTCACCTGCTTTAACATCTGCCCTTTCACCCGTTTTAACACCTCTTGCCAGGCCACCCCTATGTGAACCTTCTCTTCATTCTCCTTGGGCTCCAACAACCAGTGCCAGACCATCCCTCCATGGATGCCTTCCTTACCTGTTCGGACTCCGATACTCCATGCCAGGCTTCTCCCTCCCACCCCATGTTGCTGCTGTCGTCACTTTACTTGGGCTCAGATATCACATACTGAGCCACCCTGCATGGACATTCCTTCATCATGATGTGTCTCTGATATTCCAAGCCTGACCTCTGACCTCATGCAGTGTCACTGAGTCACTCCATGAGAGCTCTAACTTCCCATAAAAGACCCTATTCCCAAATGGATACCATCTTCATCCTGCTCAGGCTGTCTCCCCATGTCAATTGCACTGTGTACAGATTCCTTGTCATCCTGCTTAGGCTTCAACATGTCACATCTGGCTGCCCTCTGGGTAGATGCCTACCTCATTCTGACGTACCTAATGGCCTTAGGGCTGAATGTTTCAGGAAAAGAAAGAAAAAGGGAAGAGGAAGGGCAAGACTTTGCACCTTGATTCAAGGGAACCAAGGGCAGAAATGTTAGAGTGAATTCACCCCAGCACTGGCATTATGATGAAATTGTCCACTAGTTTCTTTAACACAAAAGCATAATATGTCCCTACTGTGTGAATTTACCCCTACCAATTTATTCCTGTAAGTATCATATATTCCAGGTAATTATACTTTTTGGATTATATACTCTTATGTTTGGAAAAACAAAACAAAACAAAAATCAATCCAACATATTTTCTACTTTTATCTTTTGAAATATTTTGGGGTGAAAAACTAAAAGAAAAACTATTAAACATTTGCTACTTTACTTCTTTTCTCTTTATAAATATTTTGGAATACCTTATCCTTTAGAGCAGTCATTTTCAAATTGGCTGCTGTTTTAGGAATTAATTGCGAAGCTTTTTCAGGATATAGCTATCAGTTCTTATTTCTTTTTTCAGACATTCTGGTATGTCCTCAGGGCAGGAATAGAAGTAAGAGAGGGCAGAAAAGGCTGTACAATTTAGAAAAATCTAAAAATGAGACTGTTTCGACCATCTTTTGATAATATAATACCTTTCTGACCAAAGGAAAAATATTAATATGACAATAAAAAACTAGAGTTCAACACTTCATTTCTCTTGTTGTCCTATGCACTATGGATTTTTTCATGTTAAAGTTATTTTCTTTGTCTTACTGCATAGAAAATCTGTGCATCTGTCATATCTGCTACATTGAGTACAAAATACTCCTTGTTGATAAGGCCTTCTCCTCAGATTTCCTCTACAAAAAAGCAGAAAACAGTTAGTTAGAAAAAGTCTCAAATTTTTTGTTAGTTTATAAAGGTGATTTAATTAAGAAAAAGGACTCAAAAAAGTACTTAAATTGGAAATGCATTCTTCCCTTTCTCCCATCCCCTACCCAGAAATTTCTTCTGAAACTAATTTCCATGTCCTCGAAACAAAATATTGCAATGTAAATATGAGTGAGTTTTAAACCTTCTTTCATCTTAGTTTGTAGCAAAGTTTCCCTTTTAAAAATGGACATTATAAAATGTTTTATAATTAATTGCTTTCTGGTTGGCACATATGTATAAACAGTTCTGAAGTGTTTACTGTCCCAAAGACCTAGCTGTGTGGATTACTTTGAGGTCTACACGAAAAATACATAAATATATAAACAAGCAAATAAATTTAAATGGAATTTTACAAAGTTGCTTTAACCCAGTGTATAGAGCAGAGGGGAGAAGTGAAAAATTATTACATCAGCCCTAGCTGGTTTTGCTCAGTGGTTAGAGCATCAGCCTGTGGACTGAAGGGTCCCAGGTTCGATTCCGGCCAAGGGCATGTATCTTGGTTGCAGGCTCTGGGGCCATGCAGGAGGCAACCAATCAATGTGTTTCTCTCACATCAATGTTTCTCTCTCTCTCTCTCTCTCTCTCTCTCTCTCTCCCCCTTCCACTCTCTCTGAAAAGCCATGGAAAAAATATTTTCAGGTAAGAACTTAAAAAAAAAATAAAAAAAATTATTACACCAATTGCCCTAAGGTAAGTAAGAAAAAGAGGCCCAAAAGTAGATATGAATTGGGACGCTTACATAAAAGACCTAGGATAAGAAAGATAGAGGTGATAAGTAGGAAAAAGTTATTTTTGAGTGAGGAGAGGGTCATTAATACTAGTCATTTAAACAGGATTGCTTATTTACTAAGTGTTTATTGGAAACTATAAAAACAAACATTAGGCATATAGGTCTTTGAACTTTTCTTAGACTCATATCTGGCCACACCTTCAGTATATTGCCACTTATAGGACCTGCATCCACGCCCTAGCTAGGGACATGTTGCCTGGCTGGCCTAATGGGTAACTATACCTATCTCCAACCCAAAGTCCATTAGAAGACCATTATTCAAATTTTATAATAGAACTATACTGTTCCAGAAGGAGAACACAATTCTGGTGGTGATGGGAACTTTCATTGCTTACACTAGACCATTTCTGCCACCACTTTGTTCATGAAGGAGGTACTTCAGCTCCATGGATTGATAATCTAGCAATTACAATTTGTAAACAGATTTTTCTCTTCAGAGTTCTCCATGTACAGACTCACATAGTCTGTACATTGTCCATAGAACAATGGAAAAAGACGATCAAACAGATGGTAATCTTTCCATCTCATACAGCCAGAATAGTTACACCACATTCAATAACCACGTTCACTTTGCTACTTCTGTATATCATTGAGAAATACCACAACCCCGGCTTCTGGTTTACATCTGGACATCTACAGGTTTCCCAAGAAGATGTAAATAATCTATCCCAGAAAGCTGGAGAAAAATACAATGCAATAAACAGCAAGGAAGATTATCTTTTTTTAAAAAATCCTCACCCAAGGATATTCTTTCCACTGATTTTGTTAGAGAGAGTGGAGGGGAGGGAGGGAGAGAGAGAGGAACATAAATGTGAGAGAGAAAGAAACATCAGTTGGTTGCCGGGGATCAGCCTGCAACTGAGGTAAGTGCCCTTGACCAGGAATCAAACCCACAACCCTTGGGTCCAAGGACTGATGCCCTAACCACTGGGCAAAACTGGCCAGGGTAGAAGATTATCTTTTAGAGATCCTGTCTGGCTCTCCTTCTGATACATCTAATATGTCTTTGCCAAAACTCTGACTACTTCCTAGACTTACTCAAGGTCAAGGAAAGTATGAATTCTGTGTTTTCTGCCTCAAATTATCCCTTTATGTGCAAAGCTATGTTACTTTGTATCACTTTCTGTAAAACTCAGTTGGTTACATCTCCTCCACTTCCACATCTTGGAACTAAAGGACTAGGGACCACAGTTAAACACTGACAAAGCTCCTTCAAGGCTGATATTATTTTGCTGCACCATCCTCTAATCCTCCCCAGCATACTATTTTTATTCTGATCATGCCTCCTTCCTCCTTTTGGCATCTGGCTTACAATCTTCCTTTCAGTTAAAATTGTGCCATTGTCTTAGAATTTTGGGACCTAGATAATTACAATATGCTTATGGACGATTTGTCCAATAACTTGGTCTCTGCTGCTGGATGTCTTCACCATCACAAAACTCCTAATATTCTGTAATTGTCATTTTGTAGCCATGACCTGGACCTTATCATCCCCTAAAACTGCTCTACCTCTGAATTCACAAAATCACACATTACACTCACTGACTGCAACCTCCTGTCCTTCTAGGTTACTCACTTATTTACTTGTTCATTAATGTCACTGGTACTGCAAGTCTATCTTCTCCCTATCCACCCCTTGTCTCTTCTCTATCTAGCTTAGGTCTTGGCAGATTCTCATATTTGCATATTCAGCTAAAAACCTGAAACTCTCATGCACTATTTTCTTTTACATCCACCTGATTAAACCCCAGTGTTGGAAAAAATGAAGGCATCTTACAGTCTGAATTGTTCCATGTCTGCTTCAGGGCGACTGGGTGCTGCTGGAGAAAAATCATTAAACTAGGTAAAGAATCTTTCTGCGGTTCCCTAGTCAGAGTCCTCTCTCATTTTCCATAATAACTATTTCAAACCTTCCCAATCCTCTAAACTCCATCTTCAAACTTTCCCCTTTATTCTCAGGGCATGATCTTACTTCACAGAGAAACATAATGGACTTTAGATTGGAACTTGAGAAATTTTTTGTCACTAAATATGACAAATATACCCACCCATCTTTCCTTCTTTTCTAATAAAACTGAAAAACTAACTCCTTCTCCTTTCTAAGGTTAATCTCTTTTATGCCTTTATTCTTTATAAAAAATATTTTTATTTTATAGTATTATATATTGCATGTCAATATTTAAATATACAAACATCATTCCCATTTAAAAACAAAACAAAACAAAAACAACAAACAATCCTCGATTCATTCCAACCTGGCATCATTTTACTCCACATAAACGGCTCTTCCTATGTTTATCAATGAACTTCTTTTCAAATCTGATTTTTAAATCTTTACTTGACCTCTTTGAATTTGAAATTTTGGACAAATCTTCCTTCTGAAAACATTTCTCCCCACCTCATGCCTACTATGATACCATACTCTTGTTTTTTTCTTCTGTCTGGCCACTCTTCTGAGGTGGCCCCTGCCATTTTAACTTCCTCTAACTGCCCTTAAATGTGCCATGATATTAAACAGTTCTGTTCTCTTCTCACTCTCTACTCTCTCACAGACGATCCCATCTACTCCCATGATTTCAATTACCACCGGCACTCCAAGTATTTGAGGATGTTCCTTGACTATTTCCTGTCTCTCATTAATTAATACAATGACGTACAAATCCTCTTATACCTTCTAAAAATGCCTTAAATATTTCTCCAATATCAATCCAGATATCCTCTGTTGCTATAAAAGTAAATAAATAAAAGTAATACATGTATAATATTTCTAAGTATATGGCAGAAAGAAGGAAACAGAAAAGGACAATCTTAAAGAGGAAAAATGTCTCCATTTTCCACTTTTCATCTGTTTCCCAAAGATAACTTCTGTTAATAGCTTCTATGATTCCTTCAAGAAAAAAGTTTTTCACAAAAATTCTCAGTACTTATATAGTTGTGATAGATACTGCTGAGAATCTAAATCTCTCTTGAAATACAGAAATAAAAGTATTTTAGCTTATATTAATGGCAAGTTATATTTCCCACGTTATATTTCCCAACTTCCCTTGCACCTTAGATGATCAGTTTTATAGTCAATGAAATGGAAGTAGCAGTGATGTGTGCCACATCCCACCTGGTGCTTTAAGATATGGTCAAGCTACCAACATGTCTCTTTTCCCTTAATATAAGCTTGAGCTAGTTCATATCTGCAACTCAAGGATGGTGAAGAAACAAGATAGGAGCAAAATGGGTGTTTAAATGACAAATGGAACAGAGCTACCCATCAAACAGAAATTTCTCACTTCTATCCTATTGAATCACTACATTTTCTCATGTTAGCTGCTGTAACAAAAAGACCCATTCTATTGTTCTGCATTTTCCTTTTTCATCCAACAAGTGAGACCTTTCCATAGTGGTACATAGAGAGACACCAGTCTTTACAATGGTTACATAATAATGTAAATTAATTGCTCAGTCGCTTATTACTGGAGTCACTGGTTTTTTAAATTTCAGTTTCATGCTATTAAAACATGCTATAATAAGTATCCTTGTTTGTATATCTTGACCAACTTTTACAAGGATAATAATAAAATAAAATCCTAATACGAAGATTGCAAGGTCAAACGTAAGTATATTTAAAATTTTTGCTATACTGCCAAATCCAAAAAGATTGTACCAATTTATTGTCCCATTACATATGCAGAGTATCAATTAGACTTCTCCATATTTTCAAATGGATGAGTGGAAAATGGTCATTTATTTTTGTTTTTACCTCAATTATTTCAATTATGAGTGAAAATATCTTTTCATATGATTAATGACCATTTTCTTTTCAGGAAATAACCTCTTCATATCTTCTGCACATTATTCTCTTGGGTTGTTTCTTTTTTTTATTTGTATGATTTTTTTGTAAATTAAGGCAACTAACTCTGCCGTATATTCCACAAGTATATTTTCCCAGTATAATATTTTTTCTTTGGCTATATCTATGATATTTCTTTAGCTATAAGTTAGTTTTAAATTTTTATATAATCAAGTGTATACATATTCTCTGGATTTTTATGTTCTGCTTTGTAAGGCCCCCGGCTATTCCCCAACATCTCTCTATTTTGGTTGGGCCCAAACTGCAACTCTGTCTTCTCAGCACTGTGCAGTTTC